GGGTCTGAAGTATCAAGTATGAACTCATGCGGTATTCCGAAAGCTTTTGTTTCATATGTTCCAAACCCAATGTTTGCACACATTGGGGTGTTTCCGCTTACGTTTCTTGATTAAATCCCCTATTTTGGCTGCTCAAATAACTATCCTCAAATTTCTTTAGCCATCTCCATTACAACCAGGACACCTCAAAATAGCTCATGCTGTTTAAGCGTTGCAAGCGAATAGAGGGTCGACCGGCCCTGTCGTCCGTGTCCGCTTCAAGCTGGGGTGTTTCCACGCAGATACTGGAAGGGACCTAGCAGCGTCCGCTTCCGAAGCTGTGGGTCAAAGTGCTCCCAACCATCCCGAGATATCCCGCTTCGGATGCTGCAAAAATAGAGTTCCAAAGTAACTCAACACCTATGAAAATAGAGATTGTCCAAGTAGAAAGAGGGGATACAACCTACCAAAGATATCCAAAGTTGGAATTGGAGCCAAACATTATGGGTGTGCGGTGTGCAATTCAACGGAAATCTCTCGACAAGAGTTGGTGGCATAGCACTTGGGTTTTCAAACTGTCAGGAGGTTCAGCATGATATTCACCACACCAATCATTTCCTTCATGGCCAAGATATGCCAAGATTTAACACCCATGATATTCACCACACCAATCATTTCCTTCATGGCCAAGATATGCCAAGATTTAACACCCGAAAAAAACTAAACAAAGATTTAACAGCAGGACAGCATGTGTTTGGCATTTTTGTTCTTTCTTTATGTTTCTTTATGTTTCTTTATTGCTATGTGTTTTCGCCCTTCATTCACCTGCCTCCTGCGGCAAGTGCTCTGGGCTGGGCATGGCCTCCAAAATTTCGGCACGCGGCGGCAGGTCGCATTTGCAGCAGCCGGAGGGCACAGCTCCACCCATGGCGCAGAGTTGCAGTGCGCCGGCGATTCGAAAACGGGGGCAGCTTGGGGAGCTCGGAGATGGCAGGCCATGGGGTGCATCTAAGATTGGGTCGATTGGGTCATGGATTGATGTGCAGGATACATGTTGGTACATGGATTGGTCAGATTCAATCCGCACCCACACCTTAAACCATCCAAGGAAAGAGCATGAATGACACATGTTGAAACGATCTTCGATCGTTCAGTTGGGTACTTTGGCCCGCGGGTCAAAACTATCGTCTACTATTGCAATAATCTTGGAGTGCTCATGTGGGGTGTGTCGCAAGTGTTTCACTCCCCAAATCCAATCCATTGGCTTCCCTTCAATGATAGGCCATTCATGGCAATTCTGAAAGTGCATAGGTGGCTGGGGGTCACCCAATGGTAGAAAAAAACCAGACTGACCATAAAGTGTCTGTTTATTGCTACCATGTTGTGAGCCGGTGAGCCGTGCTTGGTGAGATCCATCCAGGCCTGTGGTACCGCTGGGGCCCACACCGTGTCAACGACGATGAGCGCGGCCCACCGTCAAGCGCACCACGCGCTTTGGTGCTGGCTTGGGGCTACGACTGCGGCTGGCCTCGCCCAAATGATTTTTGAGAATTCCAGCGGGAAAGCTGGAGAAAAATGTGCAAACACCCAGGAAAGATAGAAAAGCAAAATTCCATAAACAAACGTAGATCTATCCTGTTCTATCTGTTTGGGTTTACTAAGGTACTAAAAGCGGCAAAATCTTGCGGATCCCGCCATGTTCTGTTTTTTTGGCCCCTTAAATTTGTTGCGCTTTCCTGAAGATGTTCCCTTCAACTAATTGTAGGAAACAATCTGGTGAAGTATGTTCTTTTTTGGGCAACCATAATGGCGTCTTCATATTTCTTCTTAAACGCTGCTGAGAAATCAATTCTGTACTGCTGAGGTACAAGCACGTAAAGTGACGTGCGTTTGCGCCAAATTTCAGACTTGTGCTGTATCCATCATGTGGTTGGGAAACTCAATTCCAAGCTCCAACTGGCTTCCCATGGATTTTACATATACGGAATATGGATCCCCCAACCTCTCTCTCCTACACCAGATACAGTCGGATTGGGTGCCTCCCTCGGGGAATGCGCTGTCGGCGATGGCTCCTCCAAGCTGTACTTAAATGGACAAAAAGGCTCCCCAACCATTCTTCCACACCATTACAGTACCATCTATAGTTTGATTTAGTGTGTCCCAAAATGATGGCAAAAATCCCCTGAAATCTATGGTCATAATTTTCTCACCTGATCCAGCCATTTTCCAAGGGTCGTCCTCCGTCTCTGGCGAGCGCAAACAGCCAGGAACTTCGGCTTCCTCGAGTAGTGAACAATGGGAGCCAGTGAGTCTGGAAATGGAAAGCGCTAAAATGATGGATTTGACACACTAATAAATGGTGTATAATGTGGTTATAATCATATAAAAATGATGGTGTTTCATTGATTCACTGTCTGACTGATGGATTTGACAGCCTGATTGACTGATTGATTTGTCACATGTTTTTTCATAAATTTCTTGGAGGAACTTATCTCATGCTCCCAGTTTCCAAACAATATGTCGTAGGGAGATAGACCCGGCTCACACTTGTCTTCTCAAGCTCTGTATGATGAGTTGAATGCCAATGTTCCAAAAGGTCTTCAAATTGCAACTATGCGCGTGTATATTTATACTCATATATAATAATAGATAATAATAATAAATAAATAAATAAACATAATACTAATACATAATTATATATACATTATTATATATATATACGTATATATATATGTATATATAATAATATATATACATATATATATATATACGTATATATATATATATAATAATATATATATATGTATATATGTATGTATATATATATATATTCAAGATGATGATATTTCACCGCATACATCGGATGGGTGTGGATAAACAGCTGCATTGGCATTGGATCACTCAAGTGGCTCCCGGTTGACACACTTGCCACCCTTCCATTTGGCTGCTACGATGGCTCAAAAATAGGCTCCCAATTGACCCAGAAAGGCTTCTCATTCCTAGTGTTTGGGTGTTCCTCAAAATCGTGAAAATACCAAAATCCATGGGTCTCTCAGATAGAAACTGATGAAGATTTGGATGATGTTGGGGGTCACCCATTGTAAGAAATCCATAGAAATCCCCATATTTCACCGTCCATTTTGGGGGGATCAAAAAGTTGGAACCATCGCCTTGCGCTGAACTGGATGCCACCGTGGTGGGAAAGGGCGCCTTGAAAGTCAGAAAAACGCCCAACTGAGCAAGAGATTCCACCAGTCACGCATAGATAACCATTGACAATATCCGATAACCATAGATAACAAGTGATTTGGGTGCAATCTAGCCAAAAATCGACAAGCGTTCACCAAAAATAGACCTGCAAGCATCTGATTCTTGCATATTCTTGCACTGTTTGACGGTGTGCCTCTCATCTTTGCAACCATCATTTAGTTTCGAACTTCATTGGCGGCAAGATCCACATAAAGGTCTGGTATGAACCCCAAACATCTGAAACTGGTTGCCGAAATTTGAAGCATCCAACGGACTTTTCTGGTAAGTTGTTCAAAACACCTTTCCAAGCACTCCAAAAAAAGTGCACATCCACCTTGAGGGTCGAAAAAAGAGTCACCTCAAAATCGACGAAGTTTGGGCCTTTCATCATCCCAAAGATGTCGACAACTCGCACCTGTAGAGCGCGTTCATCGACTTTGCGATTTGCATCATGTCCTGTGGCGGACGTCGGATGTCGCTGATCACCATCCTTTGGATGCCGAGAATGAACAGAATATAACAGAAATTATCAGAATCATGTTGGGTTTGTCCGAATATACTGGAGAAAAAAAACATCCAGCGCTTTATCATGAATTGTCCGCATTGAAATATATCGACAGTGGCCGTTTTCGGGGTATGACTGTTCATTTCTGGATAGACCTGATTGAGAAGTGGTCCAACATCCTGCATCACGACTTTGTACTAGAAAACACTTCCGCGAAATTTCGCGAATGCAAGTGGTGAATTTGAGAAGAAATCACTTTCGCGGAGCTTTCTCCGTAATCAGGGGAACATACACCCGTAGATGATTTAGAAGCACCACATTCGCGCAGCTTTCGCGAATCAGTTGAGAAACCACCTAGAGCACCATCAAAACCTGGTACCGTAGCCCCCACTGGTGCCTCATAGCGTGTGTAGCACGCATTCCACCAGGGTGGCCGACTGGGTAGTTGAATCCTCAACCGCACTGATGAAAAGGCAAGAAACATGACCCTGGTCAGCTGGTCAAAATTGAAGGTCGTTTCATGTTTTTTCTGTCTTTTCCCCAAAAAAAAGCTCTCACCTGGGCTGGAAAATCCCCTGTTTTGAGGTGCGATTCGCAGGAAGATAATTCCAGCGGAGATGCGTGTTCTTTCTCCAGATGTGTTCGGATTCATTCATGATGCTTCCCCGATATTTTAACATAAAGATACAAAAAAACCAAGATCGAAAAGTAAACTCCAATGCTGAAATGCCGGTCATCATAAGTTGTTCAGTTGTTCTATGTTTTTTTTTGTGGTTGCCCCTTTTTTGGCGGGTCCTCTGTTTTTTGTTTGCCCTTTCCCCAAGATTCCCGCCTCCCACCTGACACCGTTCAATAGAAATATTGCCAGGGCGCTGTAGCTTATCTGCTGCAAGGAAAATGCTGGCCTTGGATCTCTGTCTATGATCTCTGGGGCCTGGGAACCTGTGAAAATCGCTGGGAAATTTCTGGAGGTTCATCCCCGTCAAGATTCAAGTGATGTAGTTGACGAATCATTGTCCTTTCCAAGATTCAGTTTCAGGTCATATCTTGGAAACGTGTCGAAGATGGTAGAAGTGTACTATAAGAACACACCCTGACCTATCCCATAGGGTCCATGGTGCTGGTATATATGCTAACATAAAGGGGGTATATTGATGGGATCCATGGCACACCATATATAGCAGCACCATGGATCCGTCATGGGTATAGAATCATCACATTGTGGTAATCTTTGAGGATAGCAGATGATTGCCAGATCTTGGAGGATTCCAAGACCTTGCCGAGCCGGACAAGTGAAATTCATCGTGTACCAGGCGATATTAATTGAAGTGACAATATATTAGATATTATAGATACATTATGTCAACATATTTTAGTACTTAGTAGTATACATCTAATATTTGAACAAGGTGAACCGTTTGAAGTAAGCATGGACCATTTTGAATTAGCAGTAGAATTTGGAATAGATCCAGGACCAGCGTTTGAACATGTCGAAATTGTGAAAAAAAATATGGGCAAACAAACGCTGGTGGTTAAAGAAATGGCCTTGGATCTCTCTAGATCGAATTCAGAAGACTTCCCATAGTCTCCCATGGAGAGGATCCACACATGTCCCGAAGCAGATCTAAGTTTGGGCGGACATGTCATCATCAATTCTGCACTTGTTGTGATGTTCCCATCTATCTATCTATCTGTCTGTCTATCTATCTGTCTGTCTATCTATCTGTCTGTCTGTCTGTCGGTCGATCTGTCGATCTGTCGATCTATCTGTCTATCTGTCTATCTGTCTATCTGTCTATCTGTCTATCTGTCTGTCTATCTGTCTATCTGTCTATCTATCTATCTATCTACCTATTTACCTATCTATCTATCTATCTATCTATCAAATCAAATCAAAATCAAAATCAATCAATCAATCTATCTATCTATCTATCGATCTATCTATCTAACTATCTATCTATCTATCTATCTATGTATCTATCTATCTATCCATCCATCCATCCATCCATCCATCTATCTATCTATCTATCTATCTATATTATGTAAATTATTATTGTAAGGTCCTATGTAAGGCTATGTATACTATATTATAGATATACACACGTGAAGTACACATGTAATTATATATTTAGCAACCCCATAACCCACGAACTTATGATCCGCCAGCTTCTCTAGCCAGAATTGTATACTACATCTTTGCTGATTATATATACTGTACCTAGACTGAGGCAAGGGACCGTAGCAATCTCGTGTGGCTGGTACTCGCAGCACAGGCTGGAGCAAGCCGAGTCGTTCAGAAAGTTCCTAGACATCAACAATGCCATGCTGGGGCTGGGGGCCCAGTATGGCCCAGTTCTTTGGACCAATTGACCAAAAAAACGAGAACATGAACAGCCAAGGGGAGGGGACATTTCATATTCAATCACTTCAAAATCAACACGATGACCTCTCAAGTCCGCTATTGGGGCTTCAAAATTCCACGCTTTCACGTAGCACATGTCAGTACAATGGTCCAGGTGAATTAGCCACGAAAATAGTATTACCCACTGGCCAGGATGACAGTTACGGTAATTACATTTAAAATATACGGAGTTTTGAATATACGAATTGGTGTTTTAGATTTTTTTAGACTACCTCCGGCCCGGCCATTTAAACATGCGGAATCCAGATACATTTTTGAATGTCGTTACCGTAAACTTGGACATAGCCTTCAGAACCATCAGCTTCTGATTCTAACCCAAGGAATTCCTAAGTGGAGGCTATGTCCCATGATGGACTATGATAATCCCCAACTAGGATATAACGGCCGGGAAAAACCAGGGTTTTGGTCACTGCTCAGATATACCATGGGTAAGTGGACAAGAAACCATCAAGAATTGGGAACATAGCGTATATAAGTATATATAGGTTAAAACATCGACGAACAATTGGGAATAAATCGTGCATACATCCATGGGTCATTAAATGTCCCCATTGAACATCACCCAACCATTAGGTATATGGTCTATAATGGCTACTTTTTCAGGTGATGTCCAATATTCCCAAAATGGGACAGTTACCAACCCCTGTAATCAGTATCGCCAAAAATTACCACACCACAGTTGATCGATCCGTCTGAGATATCTGAGACAGCGACCAGGCACTTTGCACCAGCTCCACTCGCGTCGAAAAGACATTCAGCGCACCGCTGCGAAGGAAGTGCAGCATATGCCTCGAGAGGGGCACCCAGGGGGTGGGGCCAGTCACAAAAATGGTGAATGACTATGGTAAACAAGAAAATATATATAATATGTTATAATGCGTCAGCGTTTATGTTTAATAACCATTCTAAGCCAGTCATAGATGAGAGAAAATCCAGTTGAACACATATGGAACTATGTTCACCAGGTGGGCTCCTAGCATCTATCAAGTGTTGCCGCATCCTATGAGCCGAGTTGAACGTCGCTGGTGGCTATGAAAAACCTCGTTATCTTTAATGACTTTAATGAGATCATCTGATACCCTCTGGCAAATTAACAGTTTACCCCTGCAGACAGGACTTGGAAGACCAGTGTCCACTAAAAATGATGGTGATTTTCAGGGTCTATATTAGTTTACCAGAGGGTGTAGCTTTGTCTTTAAATTGGGTATACACCAAAAAAAATCAACTTTGCTAAGAAAAATGATAGACTGATTTGGGGGCGCCTCTTTTCGGACAAACCCGCATATCAATGAACGGATCTTGATGAAGCCATGACAATATCAACTCATCTCATGTCCAAATCATGACAATCAAGTCATATATATATATATATGTTGTCCATATCTGATATCGGATTATTCCCTTGATCCAAATCCAATAACAGTTTTTAAAAAACAGCCCCAATCTATATTAAGTTTTCAATATATATATATATTAAATCCTGACCAGCCCCAAAAAAAGGGCCCAAAAAAGCTTGGATACACAGAGATTTAAATAGTCACAGTCCCTTTATATATGTGTACATATTAATATGTATATATATATGTATACATATATATATATATACATATACATGTGTATATATATATACATATATGTATATTCATGTGTATATGTAAATATATCTATGATTATATATATATGTATGTATATATAATGTATATATATATACATATACATATAAAGTATCTAAAAATCCAAATAATCAGCCCAAGTCTTGATACTAATAACAAAACAGTCTTATACTTGGAATCATAAGCTTTATCGAAACCACAGATTCTAGCAAAAATGTTTAGTATTAACCATCTAACTATCGGGCTACCCAATTTTCACCTATACTTGGTGGCTCATCCCACTTATAAAAAGTTATAACCCTAGTAGGTGGATTAAACCTACTTATCCCACTTATACCTTAACTAGGCTTATAATCCCATTATATATAATACATTATAATACCCAGAGAATAATCCATATTAATCCCATGATATTCCTTATATATTATATATACCCATAAAATGTTGGTGAATTTTACCCATAAATCTCCCATTGAACACGCGGCCGCGGCGACGCCTGTGCGGCGTCTCCCGGAGCAGCGACGCGCCGAAGCCCAGCTCCGAGAGGATCTGCTGCTCCACCGAGATGATGGCCTTGAAAAAAAATGGCAAAACTTGGATGAAAAATGGTGGAGAAAATCATTAAAAATGATGAACATGTTGGTTACATTTGGTTACTATATCTATAATTTTGCTTATCGCTTTTGGGGGCCATATCGCTTTCCTGTGTTGTGTGCCACTGACAAATGATGATACTCCTTATGGTGCACGTAGCAGCAGATCAAAGCGCTTTGTGCCCTTCCTATTCTTTGTCAGGTCTCACCAATTTTGAACAGTCATACTCTTTGTGCCACTATCGCTTTTGGAGGGGGCCATATCGCTTTGCAGTGTTTCGTGCACATCTGCCAAAAGTGCTTCTGCAATACTGTAGTGGTCTTCAACCATTTTGACCATGGCTCATATGTGCGACGGTCAAAACTCAATTCATGTGGTGAGGTCATGGCATCGCTTCACAAGGCCCCCTATCGCTACACACAGTCCCAGCACCCTTTTCACCAACTAGGCAGAATTGCTGCTAGAAGAGGAGGATCCAGATGAGGAATCGGATTCTTATTCCTTTTGCGCTGGTATCTCCAGGGAAATTCGAACTTTTACGTGATCACCAAGGCTGACGTCGACAGCTTCAGCTAGACACCAGCCGGACTCACTGCAGGTCATCTGACCTAGGAGGCTGCCCTTGGCTTGTGTTGGCTTGTCTTGGCTTGTCTTGCCTGTGCTGCCTTGTTTCCGGCGCCTTTTTTCTTCACCCCGCCTCCTTTGCAACCTAATACCACGCCAAAATGAATCGGCAAAACCCTGACCAAATGAACCCTTTAAGAACTAACCCATTAAGAACTTGAGGGTACCCTTGTTCATACTTCCCATATTTTCCACCTATAGCACAAGTTGTATAGTTTCAAGTGACAATGTGGGGTACTCCCTAATTTCATGGATTTCAGGTATCGCTCTGGGTATCGAGGGGTATCGCTTCGGGCATCGCTATGGGGACCAGAAAATGTGTGATCTCAGGGGTATGTTTCAAGTGACACGAACTTCTGACAAGCTCCATGTTGCAATTCTACTCCTGGACAGTGGCTTTGGAGAAGCGTCCGTGACCGCACAAGGATGCTTTTTCAACATATCTCAGCACGGTCACTATCTGAATCAACATCATCACCATCACCATCATCATCAGCATCATCACCATCAGCAAGCTCATGATGCGTTATGAATTAGTTTCTTGCATACCTTACATAGATCAACATACCCCAATATATCAACATTGTTTAATGTAACTATCTCATATATACTTCACGACAGGCCATCTTGCAACTACCCAGGAAGACCAGCCCACTGCGACTGCTCCAGTGTCGCACTCTGACATCAAAAGACTAGAAAGTCATGCGCCCAACAGGAAGGTTCAATCATAAACAAAGTCTAAAAAGAGGTATCGCTACACAAGGCCCCCTATCGCTACACACAGTAAATCACATGTTTTGAGTAGTGATGGCGGATCGTAATTGAAGCCTTTCATAGCGTCTTTTGACCATTGCACATATGGAGCTGACGTATAATTAATAAGGATCAACCGGGCCCTTTTTGCCCGTTCAACCCCCATATTCCTGTCTTACTTGTGTTGGTTCAACCCCATTTATCTTCAATCACCAGATCTTTCTTGCTAAAAATCTCCAAATGGCTTTGTCTGAAAATAGACTACCCCAAAATCCACTGGTTCATTATCATGTTCCTATTAAAAGATACATTGGTGTCCCAAAATAGGTGTACAAACACAATCATCCAGTCGTCATGGATGACCATGACTCAGTCTTGAAACACAAGTAACTGGTTGGTGGTTTTAACCATCTTGAAAAATATTAGTCAATGCGAAGGATTATCCCATATATGAAATGGAAAATAAAATTCATGTTCCAAAGCACCAACCAGATATTGTTTCACCATTATTAACCACTATTAACCATCATTAACCACTATATTAACCATCATTAACCATGTTTCAGCCGTGGTGACTTGGGGCTACCCCCATGGCCACCCCACCTGCTTCATTTCCAGCGCGTCTCGGCCGCGCATGTCCAGGCCGGGAAGCGGCCGCCGGCGATGGACCTCAGGGCGAAATATCTGGTGTTCCATGTATATCACGTATAGACATGTATATATATTAATATATTATATATCTATATATATCTATCTATATATATATATATATTATATCTATATATATATATTATATCTATATATATATATATTATATCTATATATATATATTATATCTATATATAGAAAAGTATATATGTGTCTTCTTGTTCTTCTTCTTTTTCTTCTTCTTCCGTGCCATAGGTATGGTTTGCGAAAACTTATGTGAAACTAACTCGGAGCACCGCCGCCCCTCAGTACAGGAACTCCTTGTAGCAGAACTATAGATTAGTTCGACTTGGTTGTGATGTCCAGAAAAGTATGTATGTGTATGTGTATGTTAATATGGCTATAAAGACATATGATGAATCTTATTTTACATAATTGTACTGCATCTCCTGGAGGGACCGGCATCCTGGATGGCAAATTGCCACGTGACGACTTTGTGCACAAAAGTGTGCCATGTAAGGAGTGGGGATCAGCAAATTTCAGGCGGCTTTGTCTTCCGAATCCATCAGAAAAACTGTGAAAGATTCTACTATTCCTTCATAGTTGGGTTTGTCTGAAAATAGAGTAACACAATTGTCCCTGTTACACAAGCAATTTTGGAAGTCAATCCCCATCTTCGAGTTATTTAAGTGGCTAGAAATCAACCCCAAAGCCTAAATTTCACCTGAGAATCTCACCGGATCTTGGAGGGATCTCAGATGCAGTCGATAGAAAATGGGGATGATTTGCTTCAGCCTTTCAGCGGGCGGATGGGCGGGATGGCCATGGATGGGGAGATCAAGATTCAAATGATGAAAATTGGCCCGAAAAAAATGTTATTTAGTTGATCAACAAACATAGGGGACTTTAAACAAGAAAATACTATTTGAAGTTTAACACGCATATCTACTTAACCAACATCAAGATTTTAAATCAATAAAATATAAACGTTTGCCCTGCCCTGACCAAGAATTTAAAAAACGCAGCTCCGCGGATGACAATGCCAATAACCATCAAAGTGAAGGGACACCAAACAAATGGTGTGTTCTGCTTGCGTTTCCTGAACCTAGGGGACCCCAATCATGGTATATCATGGGTGATTAATAGGTATTCCCAGGATGATACCCAATCTATTGAATATCTCAGTGACTTATAATCCCCTATCATCAACCAATATGTCAATAGGTGTGTCTTGCAGCCACACACCCCAGAACGCACCTCCGATCAGAGCCTTGTAACTTGCAGGCCAGTAGCAAAGAAGCCTCGATCAATCTGACTACCCTCTGGTAATTTAACATAGTTATTGAAAATTGCCATTTATAGTGGATTTTCCCATTAAAAATGGTGATTTTCCATAGTTATGTTAGTTTACCAGAGGGTACATCACTCCAGTGGATGGGGCTTCGGAGACTTGAGCGGTTTGATCTTCGGAAAGTATGAAGGTCAACTACACGATGGTCTCTGACTTTGAGATACTTTAGGTCCAGAAGGCCAAGGAATAGAACCAGAGCCAAGAGATTTGGATGTAAGGGTCCCAGACAAAATGTCCAGTAGCTTGCTAACCCAGCCAGGTCAAATCGCGTATCAATACTCGATTCAACTCTAATCTTATATAGATCACAGAATTAAATCCACTCAAGTAGGAAGATTCTATCAGCCAATCTCAACATTCCAGAATTTAATCTAACCAAAGATGTCTGTCCCGGTTGAAGATATAAGGGGTCCCCAAAAAGATGCCCAGCAGTTTTTCCAGGATGTTAGCTTGATATGTATAATATAATATATATATACATACAGTTTGATAGTGTTCCCTTTAATTTCCAGGTTTCCATTTTTTGAAGTGTCGTTGTGCAAAAGTAGAAAGGGGGTTCTTGAAATGGGGGATCCCGTGTCGTCATGGTCTAATGACTGGATGATTTTTGGGGGTACCCCAGAAACCAGAAAGAACGCCCAATAAATTCCTGCGTTTACATTGGCTTTTCTTGAAATACCTGTAGACTTTAGGACTTGGAAATAGCCCCATGAATTAAATTCGCCCTAAGGTATTTCGAAGTCCGCGTCCCTGAGTCTCCCGGCAGCGGCTGTTATCCTCACATCAAAGTCGGCGAGAGACCTGAGCAGGCGGAAAGCTGATCACTGGTAATGCATAGCGATGAAAAGAAAACAACAAAAATGGTGAAACAATAAGTAAAACATTGTAAAACATAGTAAAACATAGCCTGAGACTGTTAGACCAGCAAAAAAACATAATGATTTCATGGGATAGAACGGGGATATAAGACACTGGTGGTTATGCTACCTATGTGATGAAGTCAATTGGGATCATCCAAAATTTTGCGGCCATGCACCCTATCCTCTACAGATGATATGTTCAATAGATTGGTTTAAGGGAAAAATTACAGGAAAGCCCCATATATTTAATGGGAAAATCAATGGTTTCCTGTAGATTTTCCCTTAAACCAATCCGATATGTTTCCCTTCAAAGGACTTGAGGCTTTTTCCTACGGCTATCGATCAAGAGCTACGCCATTTTCAGGCCCGTTCCCACTGGACCCCCGGCCGGCGAAAGAAGAAGCGTTGCAGCACGCTGGAGGCGGTGACCTCGCAACTGGCCACCAACGTTGGAAAAGATATGGTGAACGCCTTCAATTCAATATCAAACCTGGGTAAATCGATAAATCTGGTGACAATTTTATAGGAGAATCTCCAAAGTTGTCAATATGTGTAATGAGGTTCACATTAAAGGGAACAATTTTGGCGGCAGCTACCCCACTGTTTGGTAACGATATTTAGTGACCAATTGCTGCAAAGAAAATACTCACTAGCCCTGATTTGGTACAATCATGTTTTCATGATCAGGGATATTTCAATTATATAACATAATGGGAGGTCGTAACATATGTGACCGGCGGCATCCGGCAAAAGCATGTCACCGGCAAAAATGTGCTATGAAGCTTTAAGGATGTTACATCACCATCAGAATTGGGTTGCAAATCGTGAGGCTCCCTTGCAGAAGCTTGTGCTGATAGGCTACGCATGATCTGGCTGATCGATAATTACGAACTGCATCCTGGAGTGATTCCCCTTGCAAATTCACAACAATTTCTGATGGCAGTGAGGTTTCAGGACACAAAGTCAGAGAATGACACATGTCTTGTAAAATTTAGCTGGTCACATCCTGCATGTTTCTGTGCCCGAATCCTATAGCCTACATTCAGAACGAACTGTTGTGAGTGAGTTTCTTCATTGAATGTGTACCCCAAAAGCTTGAAATTCACCGCTCACAACAGGCATTTCCGATCCAATATGGGTTTCTCCATGTCATCGTCATTTCGGAAATGATGATCTAGAACTGGATCGCAGGGTACCTTTTGACATTCTGTAGACAATGTTCGACACACCCATATATGAAAAAAGATCTAAACCAATTTTGGGATATTGTTCAGATGTGTCTGGTTTATAGGTGATATATCTATCAATAACTCCTCATATTTTATGATGTGCAGTGGAGGATGGCCACCCTAAAAGCCCTGGACTTCCCCGGCGCAGGTCTGTTGTGGAAGACGCAGCAGAAGCGAGGCCCGCTGTAGTAGGACCTGCTTGCGGGAGAGAATTGGCCTTGAAACTGGAAAATTCATGGCTTTGAAAGCAGGAACACATGGGGTTCAAGTTAAAACCATTGAATTTTTTGGGGGTTGAAACTGGTGAAAGCGCGGTGTTGAACCCAATCAAAATGGGGACCGGGCATCAGTATCATCAATCAGCTAGAATGAAGGATTTAAACAGCAAAAACAAAGGATTCAACCAGCAAAGGCGAAGAAGATTCAACCAGCCAGAAGCCAGATCTGATATAAATATATTATACATATATATATATATATATCATAATCTGATAATATTTTCTATATATATATATACATACTGTAGTGTATATTATACACTGTAGTGTATATATATATATATATATGATATATATGATTATATATGTTATATAATCTGTGCATAACTGTAAAACATGGTGAAAAATAAAGAAAAATAGAGAACCGTTCAGAATAGCTCGGTCCGCTGGGTCCCATGCCACGCCGAAGGCCCGAAGCTCTTCTTCGGTGTCCTGGGGGCATCTGTGGGAAAATCATCTGTGAATGGATCATTTGAAGCCGTAAAAATGGATGAAATTGGATGGAATTGGAGATTGTTTACGAATCTGATCAGTGGATTGAATACATTCTATGATAGATATGAACATCGTACATAATTCAAATCTATAAGTAATTAATTTGCCGTGAGTGAATGGGATTGGATATGAGATGATGAGAATCTATGATCATCTGTAATCATTCACCAAGATAACTATTTAGTCATTCAAGATTCGTTAAGTGAATGGATGAGATTTCAAGCTCTGAAAATAATCCACCATTTTGAACACCATACTGTAAACTGCTTTTGGACAATGATTTTCCTATTGACGTGATCGAGCGTGATCGTTTATATGGGATTCCCCTATGCCCCATGATAGTTGGGGAAGATCTTCTAGCTCATTCAAGGTGATTCGACAGGCAAGCGCTACCTGGTTGAAATGTGCACATACTGCATCCAACATGATGTACAATCAACATATTCCTACCCTGTTGTCGTGTATATTGAATCATCCGTATTCGTGTATTTAGGTTCCTATCATTGTTTTCACCTCTCTGAGAGGTTTCATCTACACAACGTCGTGCTATGGATGGTAAGAAGAATGGGTTGCTGGCTTCAACCCATCTTTTTAAAAGGGGAAATTCCTCAAATTAGGGATTCAGGTCGGATAAAAGCATCAAATCATTCGAAGTAGGAATTTCTAAAGTCAACAAGAGCTGTGAAACCACCAAATCATTTTGGTGAAATCTCCCAATGATATATGAAATATACAGTACAGTTAATACAATATATAGTATTATGGAACATATATCATAATACTATATCAGTACCCCATGTTGGATACATATATCATAATACTATATCATATATCCAATATAGTATAGTATTATGGAACATATATCTAGTATGTATCCCAATGTTGGATGATTAAATCATGTTAAATCAGTATCAATCCCACCACCGACAGTCAAGTTCCCGGACCCTGCTGATGCCATCCACCTTTGGTCCCCAAGAATTTCGCGAGCGAAAAAAACTGTCAGTTTTCATCCAATAGAATGTATTATATATAATGGATAGTACAGAATTAATTTATTTGACATCTATATAAATCATGTTAAATCCATAGATTACGTTTATATAATAGTGTAGACTATTTGATAATGAGTTGATGGGATTTGGAGTTCCTCTCGGGTAATCGAACATGGTCATAGGAAATCCAATGAAATACATACAAAATAAGAATAATAATTGGGAAACTCATCGAATATCGAACTAAATGGGGAAATTTCCAGCAAACCATGTTTGATCACCAAGGGGTGTGCACATCACAACAGATGGATTTTCTATGATTTTGTCTGAAGATTTTCGGGAAAAATGAGGAGAAAAATAAACAAAAATCCAGGGGTGGATCAATTCAGTTGTGCTTTTTTCTCTGTTAGCTTCAACATGAATATGAAATTCTTCCATTCAGTGAAACCGCAAGCGGGTTGCTTCCCATCTCGACAAAGCTCAATGGCACGGTGGGATCCACTTCGCTTTTCTTCGCAGCTGTGGTAGGAAAATGTCGCAAAATGCAATGTGTCCCCATGGAAAATTCGATGGAAAACGTTGGTCTTGGATAATTTGTTGTGTGGTACCCCCTGAAAAAATATGAAAAATTCGGAGGATGTCAATATTGAAAGCTGGGCAAAATAGTAAAATGGCTACACCGTTGGGAACATGGACCCTCCTTGCACCTCTGAAGGGGTGCAGTGTAACACCTCTGCTGGGACTGGTGGTGCCATCTCCTGGCTTGGTGAAAACTGGGGACCAAGCAGCGCCAAGCTGAATAATATAGATAATATAGAAATATAATATATGAGTTAACCCCTGAATAATATAGAAATATATGAGTTAGTTGGGAACATCCTCCCAAATAGCCTTGAAAATAAGACATGTTTCATCATTTATATACTGAGTTTACTGTTTACAGCTGGCGCGATGATGCTGCACTGGGTGGCCAAAAAAAACTTATCTTCGCTACTCTTCAATGGCGGAACCTCTAAAATAACAAACCCAGCGACTACATGGCCTGACGGTTGCCATGCTGTCGCGCACTTCGCAATGAAACCAGAAACTAGCACAGAATGTATCATTTTACTATATATTTCAAGCAACCCCCAAAAAGATAGAATATTGTATATAGAGTGATGTAGAGTGATCGTCACTGTGTTTGAAATAGATTTACGAAAATCAATCTTTTTGGTCGCTATAAAAACATACGAAAACATCCATTGTTCGACAACTTTCTTTTTTTGAAGCCATATAGGGGATCATGGGGGAATGTAGTGATGGGCGTTGAGGCTTTCTATTCTTCGCAAGAAATGTCAAGGGATGTCAAGGGGTGTTTCTTGGTGAATTCAAGGGCTATTTTTGAATCCATAACTATCCATAACCCATATTAACATATATTAACATACAGTATATCATAACCCATATTAACACATATTAACATACAGTATATCATAATCCATATGAATCATATGAACACATATTATCATATTATTATCATATATTAAGTGCATTAAAACATGGTTAAAACTAATGTTGATCCCCTAAGTTTGGTGGTTGACTCAGCTGACTCCACGGTTAGCCCAGTCCAGCGGTCTCCATGTCGCGGTCTGGACGATGTTTCGCGGTCCGGCAATCTGAAGTGAGTAGTCCGGATGGAGCTGAGGATGCCTGATTGTGAATATGAAGATAAGATATGATATGGGGGTGGGTCAAAACCTTGTACCCCTGGTGAACCCCAAAATAGCTGGTAAATGGATGTTCATCCCCCTAAAAATGGTATTAATAGGTATTGATCCATACCCATATGATATTGTGAAACTTTCGGATCTGAAAAACTTTTGTGAATATGAAGATAAGAATTGATAAGATATGCCGGTTTGAAAGGCCTCAATGATTAGCATTGATGACTTGTTCCAATGCTGTTGGGGCAGGGATTTCCTGGTCCTGATTACCAGGCTTCCTTGCGTCATTATGATCCCTATTGATCAATCTGCCAATGAATGTCCATCCCCTGGTATCGCTGAATCATCACCCAATTGCCGTGACTATTGCTGTCAGGTGCTGGGGGTGCAAAGTTGATCCGCCCCGAATGGCTGCAGGGACATGTCGGACATGGCCAACTGCTGAGGTTGTTTTCGAATGACAAAACAGATCGAAACCTTCAACCAGCGTGAGGTCCTCAATTCTTTTCTCGCGCGTCGCTAGACCAATTGTTTGGTTGGCGCTCAAAATGGCACCACAACTATAAAAACAAGTATGACGAAATCATCCAACATCCAACTGGCCTTCAAGAGACTCCGAGTTTCCCAAATTCGGCCAGGGAAGTGACGAAAATTCTCTGCCTTTGGATCATCCCTGAAAGATCTTAAGTTGATGGCCTCGAGTCAAGCGATGATCTCAAGCGATGATTCGATGATTCAAAGCGCCTTTCTTGATCCAAATAGCAGACTTTCCAGTTTTCAAATCAAATCATCCAAACAGCAAAGGTTTCCCCGCCATGCTGCCGCTACGCCGCACCATGCCATCGACCGGGACGCGGTGCTACGATTGTCCATGCGACCAGGGAACATTTTGAACAGTTTGTTGTCATTGATGGAGGCTTTATGAGATTTCAGCTTGCGCAAAAAAACCCTCTCTAGATATAGAGATGAATAGAGATGAATATCATGTGTTGGTTGGGCATGTGAATTTGCGTGGATCCTGCTGAACTTGCAGTTCGCTTGGTAGTTCTACCGATGAACTTATGACCAATTGGTGTCGCCAAAACCTGATGCCAAGGCAAAAAAAAGAGGGGTAACAACTCCACCCAGGATGTGGTATCAATTGGTTCTGTTCTGCTGACTCTGATACTGAAGTATCACCAGTGCCGGGCTATTTTTACCGTCCCCGGCGCCAGGGACGACAAGAGGCTAGCTTGGAAGGAGGCAATATTTTTCATCCTGTGAGAAATCCTGAAATCAACTTGAAATCTACCAAAATATACTATCAAATATACTATCGTGAAACTATCTGACTCCATCATGACAAGCTGCACTAGATCGTATGTCAGGAGCCACCGTCAAATTCTGTAAGTTCTATTCAGGCTATTGCCATTCTCTGATCAGATTCCTGAGATATCGCCTCCCCAAAGTCACCAGGTATAGATCTTTCAAAAGATACCTCCGATAGCCAGGATGGCTCAGAAGAGGCCGAAGAATTTTTTGGGCTCCAACTGGTTCAGGGCTCCCTGAAGTGTGACGTGTCACTTTGCTGAACTAACGCAGACAAACCACGTCTTTATGTAAACTCTGGATAGGTTATATAGAGAGATACATCCGGATGGATAAATATCTAGAGGTAGAGGTAGAGGTAGAGATAGAGACAGAGACAGAGATAGAGATGGATGGATAGATAGTCAAAGAGATAGAGAGATGGACAGATGGACGGACAGACGGACAGACGGACAGACGGACAGACGGACAGACAGACAGATAGACAGATAGACAGCTAGGCTAGACAGATAAACAGACAGACAGACAGACAGATAGACAGACAGACAGATAGACAGATAGATAGATAGCTAGATAGCTGGACGGATGGACGGATGGACGGATGGACGGATGGACGGATGGACGGATGGACGGATGGACGGACGGGATGGATGGATGGATGGATGGATCAGATAGATTAGATAGATTAGATAGATTAGATAGATTAGATAGATTAGATAGATTAGATAGATTAGATAGATTAGATAGATTAGATAGATTAGATAGATTAGATAGATTTGATAGATTTGATAGATTTGATAGATTTGATAGATTTGATAGATTTGATAGATTGATAGATTGATAGATTGATAGATTGATAGATTGATAGATAGCTAGCTAGCTAGATAGATAGATAGTCAGTTTGTTAGATAGATTAGATAGATTAGATAGATTAGCTAGATTAGATAGATTAGATAGATTAGATAGATTAGATAGATTAGATAGATTAGATAGATTAGGTGGGTAGGTAGGTAGGTGGGTGGGTGCGTGGGTGGGTACGTGGGTGGGTACGTGGGTAGGTGGGTAGGTCGGTTTGTAGGTCGGTGGGTGGGTAGGTAGGTAGGTAGGGAGGTAGGGAGGTAGGGAGGTAGGGAGGTAGGGAGGTAGGTAGGTAGGTAGATAGGTCTGTAGGCAGGCAGGAAAATAGATAGATTGGATTAGATTAGATTTAGATTTAGATTTAGATTAGATTAGATAGATAGATAGACCAGTAGATACCAGCAGATACCAGTAGATACCAGTAGATACCAGTAGATACATGAGATGAGATAAGATGAGATGACGTAAGACAAAATGAAGGAATAATTAGATCAGACTAGATCAAAGTATACTGAGTATACAAATGGGTCGATCGATGGGGGGGGGATGAGAGAGACATGATAATGTGTGATACATATTTGCCCAAATCTTACCCTCCGGAGTCATCAGTCACATTGCTTGCTGGAAAATCACCCCAGTTACAGTTCGGTGATTTTCCCAGCTATAAACCAGCCACGGAGCTAGTTGCACCCTTCAGGGTATCCCCATGATATCACCATAACTATCTGTGTTGGTTAAACCACGATTTTTCACCATCAAAACATATCCTGCCACTGAACAAAAAACACACCATTTTCCAGCCTGCAGAGCATCCTCGGATTGTTTCTCTTCCTTCAACTTGTCCTGGTGGATCCCCAAGGAGAAGAAGATGGAAAAAATGGAGAGTTAATGGATTAATTGGATTTTACTGGTCGATTAATCAGATTTTCCAAATGGATTGCGACAATCCCTTGCAATTGGATCTGAGCTGGCACCCGAACTAACCATCAACCGACCGGAGGGGTATTAACATCGTTTCCTGGTCACTGCTTTCAACTGGTTGATTTTGCCAGACTACAGTTTGTAATCACGCTAGGAACAGTGGAACGGTTCTGCCACTTAAGAAACACTTTCCAAATGGGGATTGATTAAAATCCATAAAAAATGTAAGGCTGGGGGACATGAACATCCATAAATCCCAGCTATGAATTGGGGTGAACAGAAGGGTGCCCGTGGTTTTGACCCATGCCCAAATAGAAAGAAAGTCCCATCCTGGCACAATAAAACCATGTAGCATGGCCAACCGTGGATGAGCCCCTGCAATTTTCCTGGATTAGTAAAAAAATATTTTATTAATTCAAACTATATATAATATAATATGTTACTTTATAAATATATATATATATGTATATACATGCATGCTACCCCCCTTGAAAACCGCACCGGGTTCTTAAAAAGAAAAAACAGCTAACCAAGTTGAACTCTAGCGAGGACAGTTAGACACCCTGGTCCCCCAACTTCAATGTTGTGTAAAAGCAGCGTTTGGCGGAGCTTTCAAAAAAAAACAACCGTTCTTGCCCCGTCCATTGGGAAGCGATGTTTAGCAACATTGATACAGGGGGTCCGGGGGCTTCCGGTGCATGTTGAAACTTTTTGGTCGATTGTTTTTTGAAGAACCCGGTATGTTTTTTGGAAGCATAGTTTTTCCGTGTCAAAGATTTTAAGTTTATTTATTACCGAAAGCTCCTGCGAAGGGTCAAAGAACTGCTGCCAAATTCAACTGTTCACTTCATCTACATATATAACACCTCCTACATCCTTTACATCACCTACATCATCTACACCAACTTCGTCTACATCACATACATCATCTACATCTCCTACATCTCTAACTACATCCTTTACATCTCGAACTATATTATTTTTTACGTCACCTACATCATTTACCTCAACTTCATCCACATCTACATCACATAAATCATCTACATGTATCATCATATATCTACATCAACTTCATCTACAGGTGCTCAACGTCTACATATCTCCTACAAAACTTCTACAATCTTACAATGTCATTTACACAGGGGTTCTTACACAGGAGTTCTGACTCAGTAGTTAACTTCTAGGTGATCTACTTGTATCTGAAAATTCCTACGGAACTCCTACTTCTGAGGTTTTTCTAAATTCTCTCTTAAGGCGGCAGGGACAGCCAAAAACCGGTTTGCAAAACGTGACCCCCTGCAGGGATCGTGCGTGTCGCACAAACGTGTGGTGAATTGCAAATTCTGCTTCGTCGGTCGCAGCCCTCTGCAGAGATCGTGCGCGTCGGACGCACAAACCTATGGCAAAATGCGAATTTTGTCAGTCCGGCGCAACTCTGCAGGGATCGTGCGTGTCAAGCACGACGCGTGGTGAAATGCGATTTTTGTGGGTGTCGGCGTTGCCCTTTCGCACGACATTAGGGTCCAACGTCAAAAAACGGATGTAAAATTGCGATTTTGAAATCTCAGATGCAACCCTTTCACACGAAATGAGGGTCAAACCAAAAAAACTGGTGTGAAATTGCGATTTCGCACCGTCAATCAACGTTGCAAAGGTCCTTTGTGGCAAGGGTTCTCCGTGTAAAAGCTGCTTGCGTAAAAGCTTCTGTGTGTAAGACCTTTTGTGCGTAAACGCGTCTGTGTGTAAAAGCTTCTCTGTGCAAAAGATTCTCTGTGTAAAAGCGTCTGTGTGTAAAAGCTCCTCTGTATAATAGCTTCTGTGTGTGCAAGCTCCTCTGTGTCGAAGCTGCTGTGTTGTAAACGCGTCTGTGTGTACGGGCCCCTCTGTGTAAAAGCTTCTGTGTAATTCCCTTGCATCATCGCAGTCATCTGAATGGACGCCATGGGGGCACATAAATATACATACGATATAATTGATATAATACTTCATAATCACTCAGTATGCATTCGTTAATTAACCATTATGCATCTACAACCTCATTTGTCATTCATCATTCATCATCATTCATGATCATTCATATTCGCATCTTCTCTTTCATCCTCTTTTGATCTACTCCCTCATGCTTTTCTTTCGGGCCACACTGTCGTCTAGAAATTTGTAGCGAAGTATCAAACAACCTTTCACCACGTGGTTTACACATATCTGTGGTGGATAAATCCATGATTTCACCCGGCTCCAAGCCTCAACACTCTTCAACGTTGAAGAAGTTGAGGCAACCTCAGCACAGCAGGAAAAAAAAAACTGGAGGTTTTCAAGCGGAGAACGGTCGGCCAGAAAACATGGCCCAAAAGATGTGTCTATGTCAGAAAGAGCATGTATGTGCATATGTACACATTATATGTATGTATATATATATATATGTTATAGCAGAATGTCATATTATATTATATCCCGTATTTAATACGATATACAATGTGTATGAATGTATATATATATACTATTTCCTGGTTTTTGCCCCGGTCCCGCAACGTCGGTGGCGGCAGCGTCAAAATCATCATCATGATCACCAACAACATCATCATCAGCAACATCACCATCATCATCAACAACAACATCATCGTCATCATCATCATCAAGTCATCAAGTCATCATCACCATCATCACCATCATCATCATCATCATATTCATCATCCATCATCATCATCATCATCATCATCATCATCCTCATCATCATCATTATCATCATCATCATCATATTCATCATCCATCATCATCCATCATCATCATCATCATCATCATCATCATCATCATCATCATCATCATCATCATCATCATCATCCATCATCATCCATCATCATCCATCATTATCATCATCATATTCATCATCATATTCATCATCATTCATCATCATCCATCATCATCCATCATCATCATCATCATCATCATCATCCTCATCATCATCATCACCATCATCATCATCATCATCGTCATCGTCTTCGTCATCGTCGTCATCAACAACGACATCCTCGTTATAACCATCGTCATCAATATGACGACAAGCTGAAGTTAATATTCCATTCAACGCATTGGTTCAGAGGGTGTGGCAGATGTTGATCCCTTGTGAAGATACGTTGAAGTTGACACCCCATTCAATGTATTTGTTCAGAGGGAGTGGCAAAAAATGACCCCTTGTGAAGATAGTTGAAGTCAAAAGCCCATTCAATATATTGTTGGAAGATATATGATATATGTATCTACATAGACATATGGATATGCAGATATGCATATCCTGTTGGAGGTTGTACTGTTGAAAAAATGATATATTTACATGCAATATGCACACATGTACATGTACATAAATTTAATATATGCGTGCTTATATATATATCATATATATATATATGATATATATATATATATATATCATATATATATATGATATATATATATATATCATATATATATATCATATATCATATATATAATTACGTACATATGTATATGTACATGTATGCGTACGATTCGCGTTGATGGGCTGGGGCAAAAGGTAGGCAAAAGGTACGTGAAAATTCCATAAAATTCCACCGGTGTGCCTGGCTCTCCACGGCTGCTTTCTTTTGCGTCACATCCTTCACTTCCCTGGCACAGGAAGTGCCTCCCAGTTATGAGTTCGTTTCTAAAGCCACATAAGTATATAACTACAGCTATAGATATATCATGATAATTCATGATATATCTACATCTATCTACATGCATACCGTATTAAGCTGCAGTTAGCATAGGAAGCATCCGCCAGCTTGTCTAGCGGGCCCTTCCTGCCGGACTATGGCGACTGGAGTTTCCATAGTCATAGGGGATCCCCAATAGCTGGCTGGTTTATTTCATGGAACTTCCTATCAAAATGGATGATTTTTAGGGGTACCCACATTTTAGGAAACCTCCATTTGAGTGTCATGGTCAATTCACACTCCCGAAACAGCAATATAACTAATAACAAGGTGGTAACAACAAACAACTCTATTCAATAACCTTACACCTTTCACCTCAATGATCCACCATGTCACATCGTTTTTTAGTACCAAGTATAATCTTTCATTGAGGCCCTGAAAGTCACTAATTCGCGGTCAATGGTGCCCTTTGTGGAGTGAGTCTCAAAGCTCGGAAACACTTGGCTTCCAAAGCATCCAGGAATGGAGTAGAAATGGTGGATTTCCATGGGATTTTCCCACATCCACAGGCCATGTGGGCTACATGAATCCAAGTTGGGTCACATTGCACTGTTGCACAATTACATACTGTATAGTGACCTCCAAAACCATAGAATCCATAGAAAAATAATACTAATCTATCACTATTTTAGTTGGAATTCACTCATTTACATGCATAACAAAATACTAACCCGATCCAAGCCACATTTTCAGTACTGAAAAGCCATTCGGCTTTTCGTGGCTGTCCTGTTGTGAAACGTGCCGGCAGTGCTTGGCCAGTGACTCCTCCTTCTTCTTTTCGGCCTCCACTTATCCATGAAGCCATGAACATGCCAGCGAAAAAGCGTCGGTTTCGATAGGCATCCGTTGTTGTCAATAAATCGGAGCCGTTGTCTTCTTGACCGTCGAATATCAACTGGGAACTACACAATCTCGTCTTTATACATTATCTATAGATCTAAAATATATACATGTACATATAGGTCTATATGATTCTATATGCATGTGTGTATATGCATGTCTACTGTATAATCACCAACGCCAAAAAAAAAGGCATGCAGCCGGGAAGGTCACCCAAATAGTCAAGGTCAACCTCCCCAGCTATGCAGCAGCTAGAAATGGTGAACGGAACCCAGGGATGTGTCACAGAATGAATGATATTAGATATGTGACACCAGATTAGCACCTCATATTCTGAACTAAAGCAATAATTCAAAAACCATCCTCTTCAGTTCACCATTTCTTTTGCTGGGTTTACCACATCAAGGGCAAATGTGTGAGTCTCTAAATCAGAACAAAAAATATTTAGGGATTATTCTGGAAAAAACATATAGCAGGAAAAAAGTAGAAGGACACCGTTTTGGGGCTGATTCACACTGTAGATAGATATATACATATGTCATATCTTGTACAGTATGTGTACTATATATATATACATGTAACAATGTATATATAAAGTTAAAGTCAAGTTTAAAGTCAACTAGTAACTAGCTATCTATTTATATATTGTTGCATGATATTCTGCAAGATTGCAGAAAAAGCTAAGGTCGCCTGAGGTCATCCCGCAGGTGATTCACCCATGGCCCACCTGCTTCAACTTCTTAATGGCTCGTTGCTTCTTGACAGCCAGCTTCTGGGAAGGCGCCGTTTCAAGCGGCCACAACATTTTGTTGGAAAAAACCGGTCACAGAAATATCGCGTGTTTTTGGGTTGTGGTATTTTTACGGGAATTATTGGACTTCATCATAGTGTTTGAGGTTATGAAGTCTTGATAGATGTCCCCAACGAAAATGATAGGAAAAGTTGCGATCTGTAGTCTTCCTATGGTGATTTTCTGATTTATATGTCTGATTCTATCTTTTTGCAGTTCATTATATTATGGTCTAGTCCAGGTGTAAACAGAAAATCCATTGTCAATACTCAGCGGTGTGAATCTAAGCTGGCTGGTGGTTGCTGCCCATTCCAGAAATATGAAGGTCAATTGGTATCATTGTCTCAGGTCCTTTTGTGGGGATGCAAAGATACGCAAAGTAAGTAAATATATTCACAGTCAAAACAGAAACGTTTGCAAGTCCAGACCTTGGCATCCTTTCCTCCGGTCTTCTGCGCCTGTCCAAACTGAAGGCCGACCCAAAGTCCAAAATCAGTTTGAAGGAAAAGTTTGTAGGAACCTCTGTTGGAAACAGAATCTATGGTTTCCATTTGACCTATTTTCAATCACGCCCCTGGAAACTGCCCTGCGGTGATATGGTGATATGGAGGGACTGCAAAATTCACCGATCGTCACTGATCATTTCTGGCATTAACCGGCTCAAGTTGAAGGGTACCCAAAGATGATACTGTAATCAACTGTAATCCATGGGACTTGGGATGACTTGGGCCACCCTATCTTCACACAGACAAGAAAAGCCGACCCATCATGCCCCGGCAAAGCCAACCACACTTTTCGGAGCACAGCGCTGGTAGCACCACGACAAATCCGGTCAACTTGCGACAAGTGTCCAGCATATTTTGAGATGCGCCCATTCATGGCAGCAGGTTCAACTGGTTCCAACCGACTGGATTGTGACATGTAGACAGCTAATAGCTGTCTTGAATAGAAATGGAAATGGAATGCTGTTAACAATGTTGACCCCGGATTAGCAAAGCCCTGGTTTACATTGGGGGAGTACCATGTCTCGCAAGAGTTTCGGACCGCAATATAAGCAGGGTTTGTTAATTTAGCTTGACATGCTAGAGTGTGTCCAACTACCAGGTCACGTAACGCGTGCAATTGTCCTTTCCGGTCAGCAGAATCCCGTTGGCACTCAACAGTTGCGCCAGTTGAATAGCTGTGCCAACGAAAATATTGATCGGCAAGGGTGGATGTACAGTAATTCTATAACGATGTATGTCACTGTCACGGCTTCTCATCAATATCAATATCTATCTAGATATATTATAGATATTATATAAATATATTATACGTGTATATATATATATTGCTTTATACTATGCATCGTGGGGAATGATCATCCAAGCATGATCATCGTGGATTCCAAATAATGGATTGGGGATACAGCACATATCTCAGAGATAGATAGAGACCCTGGTCGTGTAGCCAATAAGGTTATGTTGAAATAGTATATGATGTTCTTGGTGTGGTTTCTGGTTCCAACCACCTTGAAAAAACACGAGTCCCTTCTAGTTGGGATAAGTATAGAAAGTGAAGGAATGTATAAGACCAACAGGCAACATAGATTTAGGGGTGCACAGGTCCCACACATCGTGCCACGGGTCTTTCCAATGCTGACCATCTGCAGTCAAGATTGTGCTGCTCAGGACTACCCTCTCGAAAAATTTCTAGCCTCCTTGCTGCACTCACTACATCATGCAGTGCCCGAATGTTTGAGGAAAGCCGCTAATTGTGGCCCAACCAGCTTATCAATGCCTCTACGGCTGTTCCTCTTCTAATTGGGGTTGCTCAAATCCATTGGCTACATCAACACATGGCCTTCTCAAACACAACACTTTGTCGGGCCCAAAACGCTACGAAAGCATACAGCCGCGGTACCATGTGGTACCCGAACCATCTGCCGCCCGCCTTGAGAAGTAATTGTGTCACTAAGCCGACTGAGCCTTTCCTGTTTCAGCTCCTGAACTTCAGATCAAGCCAGGAAAAAACCGGAAGAAGCCATGGCAAAATGATGCAAATTACTCCCAAAATGAACGAAACATAGGGCGGAAATCCTGGGGACCGCGGGACCTCCGCATTTTTCTGCGGATCAGCAGTGTCAAAGATGGGTCAAAGGTGGGAGATGTCGCCGTCAGCTCGCCTCCGGGGATGATCCTAGTGATATCTTGGAAGAATTGGATCTCATTTTTTCAGCTTATCCCATGGATCAATGGATTGGTTTGTTGGGGAAAATCTACAGGAAACCAATCCATTGGATGGAAATACCATCAACCAAATGTTGATGCACTGAAAAAGTGTCGGTATTTTTGATATGTCTGTATACATTCTACATTATATCTACATTATAAATTATATATCATTATATCATATTATATCTACATTATATCTACTTGCATACATTACATACAATTGTATAGAATATGCGTGATACGACCGACCTAAATTGGTGGGCAAACTGAGGACCCTTTTAGCAAAGCTTGCTGACACTGTGGATGTCATGCTGAGACTTCCCGCGGAGGTGTTGATTGAATCAAGGATGGGGTCAGAAACCAAGAATACATCCATCATGACCCATATGGGCCATGGTCAATACTCACTATATGGTTGATGGTCATCCCATCCATAATAAGGATCCCAAAATAATGGTTATTATAAATCCCTATGAACCATTGGATGACTAGCCCCTATTAATGGTTATTAACCATGAGTATTGACCATAGCTCATATGGTTTTGTCTGCAAATCGGGTACCATAATGTACCCCACTCCATCCACATGATTTGCTGGTCATTTTCCCTTTATTTGGAGGGATCAATCTCCATGACCAGCTGGTGGCTCCACTTCCCACAGCGTACCTTTGCGCAGAAGGGCGGGGTCCCACCTGAAATCGCATCGAAGGGGCAAAGGTGCGTGGGTCAAAACCCGGCTGCACCCTGAAAAAAAGCAAAATAGCTGTTCACTGGATGTCCATCCCCCCAATCTATCCAAATCTGAGATTTAAAGGTTTTGATTTATCCCCGGCTTGTCTTTGAAATAGGCATAGCATGGCATAGCTAATTCCAACTGATTGCAACCAACGTCCCACACCTGTAGGACGCCCCAAGGAACCAGAAATTGGCTTCCAACCGGTGCCTCCCGATCAACACAGCATGCCAGCAGAGATGGCATCCCTTGGCAAATCTATGCTAATTTTTAAATGATGATCGCGGAAAAAAAATGGGAGAAAAAACATGATTTTAAAAAAAAAAGATAAACAATGCATGGTAAATAAACATGGTGTCCAAATCGTGGTGTTTCTTCCCTCTCGAATGGCGAGACCCCGTTTTCTTCTCGTTCGTTTCGATCGATCCGGCCTGAAAGGCCATTGGTGAGGCAGCCCGGGGCGGCAACTGCGGCTGCGGCAGTCCGGTGGAGTGTTTCTTTTAACACTCCCCAGACTGGTGGCCAAATACCCTCTGGTAAACTAACATAACTATGGAAAATCACCATTTTTAATGGGAAAATCCACTATAAATTGCAATTTTCAATAGCTATGTTAGTTTACCAGAGGGTAATTGGGTGGTGATCAATCAATCCAAGGGGGCAATCCCATCCCTCCAAACCCCCGCTGGAATGGATTGGATCTACATATTTGGAAGGCCCCAGTGCCCCAGTGTTGAGTGTTCAAGGGATGGAATTGACGTTGGCATTTAGCCAAACAAAGTGCGGATCTGAATTGATTCAGGTCAAATTCGAAATTGGGGATTTAGCCAGCATAAATGGGCGCGCTGCAAAAAATGACCCTGGGGCGGGCGAAATGTGGAATGGGAAGTTTTGATTTTCAGCTGGTAAATTATCTGTATTTCTAGTGGGGATAGGAACCCAATAGAAGTGGGGAATTGAAGCCAATAGAAACAGAGATAGATAGGACCGACGCACATGGTCCCAGCATGTCCCAAGCAAGGCTAAAGAGGGATGTGGACTGCAATAGGGTGTTTAGGAGGTTAAGATCAGGAATATTAAGCAGCACAATGAACAGGCGCAATTACTAAGAATTAGATACTCACAACAAAGGTACTGTGATAGACCCATTAATGAACCTACCATTTGCATGCATTTGGGATCTTACAACCCATTTGTGGCTATATTTGCGGATTGTTTGTTATTGGGTCTATCGCATCAATATATGTAGGCAAATGATAATTTGCTTATACAGGTTCGGTTTCTCCAAACTCTGTGCAACTCCGATGGCGTGCGGACCCCACGTAATGTAATGTTTCTGTGACTTGGGTTCGGCTCAAAAATGATCAAAATCACCAACCCAGATAAGTTTTATATCTATTGTATCTTCCAATAGTCATTATAGTAGTAATTAAAACATACATAACAACACAATATATATCAAGATAACACAAATCATCACAACAACCATGTATAAATACAATAAAGTGATAAGTGATACTACAGTAAATATGACAAATTATGACAATGATATCAAAAAAAATGTATTCAATAATGACATAGATCCATGTCCGCCTGTGGAGACACGGGGCGCGTCAAAGGGCGCATCTGCACCACGCGGAAGGGCGATATGCTGCGGACCTGGGGGAAGCTGTGTTTCGTGGGCGGTGTGAACTTCGATGGTGAAGGATCCCGGCGTTTGAGTCGACCAAATGATCCAAATATTCCTTTTGAACGACCCAATGGATATAATATTCCTGAAGTTATATCCAGATGGATCATAGGACATTATAGGATATCATTGAGGAAGTTACATATGAAAGATGGGGATCATCGTATGAAAGGATGAGAGTTGCAGGACCTAATGGAATCCTCATCAAAATCAACTAATGCATTGAGCTGCTTTCATTGGGATCTACTGTAATTACCAACATTGCATCACCGATCACCATAATTCATGGGGATTCCATCAATCAACTTTGGGGGGATTGTTGGGATATATCTATAATATTCCTGAAGTATATATCCTATAATCTCAATATTGATAGGATCATCCTAAACAATCATGGGATATAATCTCAATATTCTATAATCAACCTGAAGTAGATAGATATGAGACGTTCAAAGATCTTCCCATATTTTAGTGAGGATGTTTGGATATTTGCAATGGTCCACGACAAAAAATATCATTCCGCGGCGGCCACGACAAAAAAAGGCAGGAAATCCCTCAGCTTTGCGGTGACGGCATTGTGGGCTGAGCCTATGGACAGACTCTGACTCGGCCGTGCGCCATACATATGTGTATATATGTTTGTGATATATATATATATATATATGTATAAATGTATATATATATGTATATGTATATATGTTTTTTTGCATACGTGTATAAATATATCTGTATATACAAATGTACATTATATAATGAGATATAATGAGATATCATCAGCTACATTGTACATGTATGGAAGCAACCACATTCGAGTGGTTTCTTCAATTGGGGGACCCTAAAATGAGTTATATTTTCTGAGGTTCAAATTTGGCCCTTGACAAAGCTACGACTCCATTAGCCAAAATGGCAGTTCCAATACATGGATGGATGGAACCATTTTGAAACCATGGACATATATACATACCCGGATATTCAATTCTTTTTCACCTACGAAAAAGGCAAAGTTTCAATTCAATCATGTTCAATCACCATGAAAAGGCTTCAAATCACGCTCTTCACAAAAAAAAATCCTCTCTGTGGGGTCCCCAGACTGGGCTGTAGGTGGCCGGGGACAGCGTCCTGGCCATTGACCCATGCCATCTGGCGGCCATGGCTGGGGATATGTCTCTGAACCATCATTATAGTCAGGTCGCAGTGAGGTCGTTAAAATTTACCCAGGTCTGTATATATATATATGATATTTATATATATATATATGATATTTATATATATAATATTTATATATGAAGACTTACATATAAGATATCATGGCCGGACCTGGTGCTGCAAGCCCGCTCCTCCGCTGCACTTGTAGCGGCGAGGAACCTGCTGGATGGCAAGTGTTGTGGATTGCACAAGGACCCTGCAGGGTTTTAAGGATATTTGCAAGCAATCCTGGATATTTGCATGTGTAAGTTGGTACTCCTATAAATAAGTGACAAGTGGAACCTTTTCTACATCAGTTTTTTGGGACTACCACGGTACGGAAAATTTTTAGGAAGCCTTTGGCGTTTTGATTTTTTTTTTTTTCCACCGACCAGTTTTTATCGTGCTCCCAATCCACACATAGGTTGCATGATTGTACAAACAACGACACTTTTCAAATAGTGTCCAATATAATGATATATAATTTTGTGCAGCATGCTGTATGTACACGACATATGTCAATGTATTATCGTGTGCATTTATATATATATATATACAATCATATACATGTATCATTCATATTTATATATATAATATAATTACATTATTATTGTAATTCTGTACATATCTTGTATTTGCATAATTTTACATATATTTACATGTCCACTATGTCTTGGGGAAGCTCAATTCATAGCTCCCAGTGCACCTGCAAAAGGCGACACCGGACTGGCAGATTGCGCGGAATCGGTTCACATCAGTGAAAATCCCCATGGAAAGGTCAAAGAAGATGGGGATCCTCATTGAAATGCCCATATGGTGGTTTCCATAAATGGGGCTACCCCCAAATCATCCATTTATAGATGGAATTTTCCATGAAAAAAAAACCATCCATAAATGGGGGTACCACCGTTTATGGAAACCTACATATCTATGGAAA